CAACTAGGGGCAGAGCTCTTCTTGACCTGCTGCTCACAAACCGGAAGAATTAGTAGGGGAAGCGAAAGTGGATGGGAACCTGGGAGGCAGTGACCATGAGATGGTTGAGTTCAGGATCCTGACCCAAGGAAGAAAGGAGAGCAGCAGAATACGGACCCTGGACTTCAGAAAAGCAGACTTTGACTCCCTCAGGGAACCGATGGGCAGGATCCCCTGAGAGAATAACATGATGGGGAAAGGAGTCCAGGAGAGCTGGCTGTATTTTAAAGAATCCTTATTGAGGTTACAGAGACAAACCATCCCAGTGTGTAGAAAGAATAGTAAATATGGCGGGTGACAAGCCTGGCTTAACAGTGAAATCCTTGCTGATCTTAAACTCAAAAAAGAAGCTTACAAGAAGTGGAAGATTGGACAAATGACCAGGGAAGAGTATGAAAATATTGCTCAGGCATGGAGGAGTGAAATCAAGAAGTCCAAATCACACTTGGAGTTGCAACTAGCAATAGATGTGAAGAGTAACAAGAAGGGTTTCTTCAGGTATGTTAGCAACGAGAAGAAAGTCAAGGAAAGTGAGGGCTCCTTACTGAATGAGGGAGGCAACCTAGTGACAGAGGATGTGGAAAAAGATAATGTACTCAGTGCTTTTTTTGCTTCTGTCTTCAAGAACAAGGTCAGCTCCCAGACTACTGCACTGGGAAGCACAGCATGGGGAGGAGGTGACCAGCCCTCTGTGGAGAAAGAAGTGGTTCGGAATTATTTAGAAAAGCTGGACGAGCACAAGTCCATGGGGCCGGATGTGCTGCATCCGAGAGTGTTAAAGAAGTTGGCGGATGTGATTGCAGAGCCATTGGCCATTATCTTTGAAAACTCTCGGTGATCGGGGGAAGTCCTGGAAGACTGGAAAAGGCTAATGTAGTGCCCATCTTTAAAAAAGGGAAGAAGGAGGATCTGGGGAACTCCAGGCCAGTCAGCCTCACCTCAGTCCCTGGAAAAATCATGGAGCAGGTCCTCAAGGAATCAATTCTGAAGCACTTAGAGGAGAGGAAAGTGATCAGGATGGATTCACCAAGGGCAAGTCATGCCTGACTAATCTAATTGCCTTCTATGACGAGATAACTGGCTCTGTGGATGAGGGGAAAGCAGTGGACATGTTATTCCTTGACTTTAGCAAAGCTTTTGACATGGTCTCCCATAGTATTCTTGTCAGCAAGTTAAAGAAGTATGGGCTGGATGAATGGACTATAAGGTGGATAGAAAGCTGGCTAGATTGTCGGGCTCAGCGGGTAGTGATCAGTGGCTCCATGTCTAATTGGCTGCCGGTATCAAGCAGAGTGCCCCAAGGGTCGGTCCTGGAGCTGGTTTTATTCAATATCTTCATTAATGATCTGGAGGATTGAGTTGATTGCACCCTCAGCAAGTTTGCAAATGACACTGAACTGGGAGGAGAGATAGATAGGCTGGAGGGTAGGGATGGGGTCCAGAGGGACCTAGACAAATTGGAGGATTGGGCCAAAAGAAATCTGGTGAGGTTTAACAAGGACTAGTGCAGAGTCCTGCACTTAGGACAGAAGAATCCAATGCACCACTACAGACTAGGGACCAAATGGCTAGGCAGCAGTTCTGCAGAAAAAGACCTATGGGTTACAGTGGACGAGAAGGTGAATATGAGTCAACAGTGTGCTCTTGTTGCTAAGAAGGCCAATGGCATTTTGGGATGTATAAGTAGGGGCATTGCCAGCAGATAGAAGGACGTGATCGTTCCCCTCTATTTGACATCGGTGAGGCCTCATCTGGAGTACTGTGTCCAGTTTTGGGCCCCACACTACAAGAAGGATGTGGAAAAATTGGAAAATGTCCAGCAGAGGGCAACAAAAATGATTAGGGGACTGGAACACATGACTTATGAGGAGAGGCTGAGGGAACTGGGATTGTTTAATTTGTGGAAGTGAAGAATGAGGGGGGATTTGATAGCTGCTTTCAACTACCCGAAAGGGGGTTCCAAAGAGGATAGATCTAGACTGTTCTCAGTGGTAGCAGATGACAGAACAAGGAGTAATAGTCTCAAGTTGAGGTGGGGGAGGTTTAGTTTGGATATTAGGAAAAACTTTTTCACTAGGAGGGTGGTGAAGCACTGGAATGCATTACCTAGGGAGGTGGTGGAATCTCCTTCCTTAGAAGTTTTTAAGGTCAGGCTTGACAAAGCCCTGGCTGGGATGATTTAGTTGGGGATTGGTCCTGCTTTGAGCAGGGGGTTGGACTAGATGACCTCCTGAGGTCCCTTCCAACCCTGATATTCTATGATTCTATGTTTTCCCAGATCTTGGGCTGGCAGCTGGCATTCATGGCCTCATGTTTCACACTTCCTCCCAGGCTATGTGCCAGAAACACCACACCATCCCCTCAGTTACTGAGGGCTGCTTCCCTCTGCAGTCCAAACAGCAGCACAGCCCCAAAGAGCTCACTGCAAGGGCAGGTTGAGGAAAGGCAGGCTGAGGAGGCCTTAAAACAACTTCAGCATGGTAGCTCAGAAACCAGCCTCAGATTCCACTCAGCCCTGCTCAAGAATGGGGGAGAGTTAATCTCATGATAGGGCAAAGAAAAGTTAAAGCAGTCACATGTTCCCCTAACTCACAGTACCCCAATGGCACAGGGAGTACAGACAATGCCCTCATTCAGTGCTAGCTGTGCAGTATTACAGCAGCGTGACTGTGCTCCTGTAACAACCGTGTAATACCCTTCTGACTCAGGTATTCTCCTATCTGCGCTCACAGCCGTCTGCTATTCATCTAGCTTGGAAACTGACTTGCTTCAGTGATGAATTCCCTTTCACAGTTATTTTAGCTGCTTAGGATGTATGAAAATCCAGACAAAGTCATGTCATGTGGCCTTCCTCAGATGGTGTGGTTGGATGCCAATCAGAAACACTCAACAGCTTTGAAAAAGCATTGATGGTATTTGCCTTAAAGTGCAATAAGGACATTGAGTGTAGGCTGCAGATTTGGGTAAGACAGATAAAGGCTGCTGGAAGGGGACAGTTGGCTATTACTACAAGGTTTTATAGGCCCAGAACTCTTTTCAAATTGCTCAGGGAGATGACAGTATCCTAGAGTAGGGAGAAGAGAGAAAGTAGCTGTGTTCTGATTCCAGGACAAGAGGATGGAATTTGGGAATACATTTAATGAAGAAAGCCATTATTTAAAATCTCCAAGGCCTGTTACACATCACATTAATTCAAATCAATGGGAGGAGGATTGTTTAGAGCCTCTGAAGAAAAAAAATCAGACCCTAACAATCGTGGGGCCCTGTTGTTTCCTCCCAAAGATAAAGTTCACAGGAGAAAAAAATGGATGTGAATGTTTCCATGGCTTTGCAGCTACACAAAACACAGGCACCAGATGCTAAAGAGGAATGACTTGCTGGCCCTGAAGAGTGCCAAGGGTTTAAGGTGACTGCCGGTCACCATAAAGAATACAGGAGTAGTGTGGAGTGCAGTCCTGCCGCATCTCCTCTTAGGGGAACTGCAGCAGTCTATGGATTTCTGGGGTACCTACCTGTGCAGGCACATAACTGTCCTGCCAGACTATCTCTGGGCAACCAAAATCACAATGAGTAGAAAGCTCTGTGTAACTCAGTGCTTTTACACCCAGCATGAATTTCTACCTATATTGTAAAAAGAAAAGGAGTACTTGTGGCACCTTAGAGACTAACAAATTTATTTGAGCATAAGCTTTCGTGAGCTACAGCTCACTTCGTCTGTGTTTTCCAAGGGGATAATGCTGCACAGAGAGGTCATGCTCTGACACTGCTCTCTCCTTCCCTGGGCAAGTCCCACCCATGGAATACCAACTACATGGAAGGAAGGGGAGGGACAAAGTGGGGTTTCATTAGTTTTTGAATGCAGATTAATTTATACATGACTTACAGCATGTTAAACCCAACAAACATACTGTATGTGCCACTCTCTAGTTCTAGTCTTACAGCACTGCAGGAACCCAGTGACGATGGAAATTGAGATTTACGGAAACTTGATGGAGTCCCATTATTTGACTGCCTAACAGCTGGCGGAGATCTAATATTGAACGGCGCCAGGCTGTAGTTCGTTTCTGCAATGTGTGATCTAGTAAGAAAAACTCATCTAAATCTATATTTCATATGGCTAAACTCTGTCCTTACTTATACACCAGTAGTGTAAGCAAAGCTCCGACTATTCGCAGCTAGCATATGGGCCCTAGGGGACCATAGCCAGCTGGTACAGTTTAGAACAGCTCCCACACTGCTCTAAACTGCAACTGGCTGATTCGTTGGCCCCTCCTCTGCTGTGCTAAGTGCATTCAGGATACAATAGAAAATGTAGTCCATGCTCTATAAAATAAATAAAGAATTAAAACAACTTATGTCATGCACACAAAATTGCAATATCAGAGTATTTCCAGGGAGCTCCTATGCATTTTACTTGAAAAAATAAAGAGCTGTATGTTATTAATGGCATATTTTAGGTTTCTTTGCAATCCAGGAATGAGGCAAAGTCAATACAAATTGGGGGGCAGACATTTAGTGTAGGTGACAATATTCATTAGGAAACAGATCCACCTCAAAATATATCTTGAGCAAAGGTGCTTTTGTTTAAGCTATGTGGAAACAATTGAATAACAACATAGGAACTACCAGACTGGATCAGACCTGAGGCCCATCCAATCCAGGATCCTGTCTTTGACAGTGACCAGCACCAGATGCTTCAGAGACAGGTGCCAGAACTCCATAGGAGGGAGCTGTGGGATGATCTGTCTCATTATGACGGGCTTATTCAATTTGTTAATCAAAAAAACAAAAGTAGTAATTGAATTACCATGAGCCAGATTTTGTTTCACTTGTGTTATTTGAAAAGTACAAAGTACATTTTTAAAGAAAGACGCTTATCAACATATTATGGGCACTCACCTAACTGCCAGCTGCAACCTGTATTTGGCTGCTAAGAACAAACTCTCCAAACTCAGACCCTCCCAAGTGTCAATACATTTCTTTTATTTATAGTTAGCAAATGTTTGCAGCAGAAATAAAGGAACAGAGTTTGCAGAGATAAAGAAAGTGATTCATACAACAACAAATTTTCCTGCATATCTTCAAGGTGAACTGCAAAAGAAAAATCTACCATTTACTTCTCCTTTAGGAGATATAAAGGCATTCTCAGAATGGTTTCTTTTAATCTTCTGCTATTTTTTCTATTGTTATAAATATCAGGTCTTTCTGGACTTATCTATTTTTGATGGAGAGCTCTTTGGAGGACTGAGGGAATATTGATATCACAAGCAAACACTTACTACTTTACCAGTCCTCAGTAAAGGAGTGAGGGGAAAGGTTGATGAGTCTTAGGCCTGTCTGCATTAAGGAATTGATCCCTTCATAGTGGACTGTGTGATAAAACTGGTTTAAGTATTAAGGGGTACATTATGGCCCCTTTGCCATGCTGATTTGTGATCTGACCCGTGCTGTTTTGCTCTTCCTTCTAAAACATTTTAGAACAGCAGTAGATTCTGAACGGCCGCAGGTTCACCGTAGGACTGTACCAAGGGAATTATTTGAATTACCTATGCTATCACCCTACCTACCTTCATCTACGCCAAAACTGAAACAGTTGAGATTGAAACAGCTTTGAAGCCAAACGATACCAATATCTGGCATGCACATCAAGTGTTGGGGGGCACTTCTGGCTGTTGATACAAAGTGCTTTACAAGCATTCTAACAGGAACAAAAACAGTAAATTTCTCTAATTCAGACAATGCTTCACACTGCTAACAGATTTTTCCTTTGCAGTTCACTTCTAATGCAGTTTTTTTTTGTAGGAGAACAGCATTGTGCCTCATCTGTTGTTACCAGATACAGGAGCAGTCTGAATCTATCTGGAAATGTAGGTCTAATATTTGCAAAGTAGTCAAAGCTACAATTTAAGGGCCCACTGAGGATTCCCCGTGGGTGCTTTGGGACTTCTATAGCAATTTCACACCACATCCTTACATGGTCCCTGGGGAAAAGGGACCTGGGCAGGACATCCATAGGCCTGATAATCCCTGGCTGCTGAAATGACCTCACAGCTCCTCTAATTTAAACATTCAAGATATACCGAATTAAACTAGGAGCTGGACCAGCCTCCAGCTGGTTTTAGGATAATGGAAATGCAAAAGTGACATTAATGGTCCCTGGTCCTACACTGAGCACAGCTTAGCCAGACCAGCACATCTGGGTGAATTTCTGTTAATGACAAGAATTAAAAAAAAAGAGGAGGAGAGGGGTTGCCATCACAATAAAGTAATGTTATTAAGTCAAAGAAGTCCATTCAATTCATGATGATGTAGATCCTGATGAAGCTAAAGCTGTTTGGATAATTCTTTGAACAGTTTGTTTCTTTAGAACAGTTGACATATTTGATAGTCAATGGACAGCTTGTGTATCTGGTATTTTATATGCCGAGATGCAACATGAGCACGCTTTGATCTTGGCTTTTAATCCCAAGGAATTCCCACCCCCCACCTCCATTTGCCCCTACAGTGTTTCAGAAAATAAGAATGGACATACTGGATCAGATCAGTGGTCCATCTAGCCCAGTATCCTATCTTCTGAGAGTGGCTGGTGCCAGATTCTTCACTGGAAATGAACAGAATAGGGCAATTACAGAGTGATCCCCTGTCATCCAGGCCCAGCTTCTGGCAGTCAGAGGGTTAGGGACACCCAGAGCATGGGGTAGCATTCTTGACCATCCTGGCTAAGAGTCATTGATGTATCTATCCTCTATTAACTTAATTAATTCTTTTTTGATCCCTGTTATAGTTTTGGCCTTCACAACATCCCCTGACAAAGAATTCCACAGGTTGACTGTGAAGTAGTACTTCCTTATGTTTGTTTTAAATGTGCTATTAATTTCATTGCGTGACCCCTGCTTCTTGTGTTATGTGAAGGGGTAAATAACACTTCCTTATTCACTTTTTCCACACCATTCACGATTTTATAGATCTTGAAGATATTCCATCTTAGTTGTCTCTCCTCAAATGGAAGCTGTTCCATACCTATATTCATTTTTGTTCCTTTCACTGTACCTTTTCCAATTCTAAGATATCTTTTTTGAGACAAGGTGACCAGAACTCTATACAGTAATCAAGGTGTGGGCATACCATGGATTTATATAGTGGCATCATGTTCTCTTCTGTGTTATTATCTATCCCTTTCCTAACGGTTCCTAACATACTGTTAGCTTTTTTGACTGCCGCTGCACATTGTGGATAGCTCTCTGAGAACATCTGCTCAATAATAACTCAATCTCCTTCTTAAGTGTTAACAGCTAATTTAGAACCCATCATTTTAGTGGACTTCTTGATGAGTTCTTTTTTTCTTGGAAGTTTCTAATGTTTCTAACTCTTGTAACACTTTCCTGCTTTCCTTTTCTACAGGTATAGGATTGGAAATTTATAAAAATGTATCTGTAAAATGGTGAAGGAAGATTCTATAGAAAAGGAAGCAAGGCTCTTTCTATTTCTAAAAATACAGCATGATGTGATTTTTACCAACAGCTGCTGACTTTCCCAAAGTTCCTCCATTTTCTCATGAAAGATGAGATATAAGGTGCAAGGGTTCCCTACTTTGTAGCCATGGGATATTTAAGTGTCATTGACCATTGATGGGAATAGTAATCATGTGGTCAAACTCTCCCCATGCAATGCTTTCAAAAGGTCTCTCTGAAAATCTAAGATATCTTGTAATCAATTATGACCGGTATTGTCAGTATTCTGTATTGAACTGAAATTTTCCTTGTACTAAAGGAAGACTAAATGTTTGCAGCTAACAGTCCATGAGACGAGTGCAGGAAGTTTGGGTTCTATGAATCACACTCAAGGGAACATAACCACTTGCTGAGAAACAGGCCAAATCTTCTGATCCAATATTTTCCAGTTCTTCAAAACATTTTGATTTGTTCTCTTAATAGAAAGGTAGTCAAGACAGCAGCACTTCAGTCTGACAATTGCTCCGATATACACCACATCCTGGAGAGTGCTCAGACGGCGTTCCTGTACTGCTGCCTGCACGGTGAAATGGGAAGATAGTCAACGTGTACGTCGGGCCCTACATGCTCTGCTCCTTGGGGTGTGTTCCAACTGTAGCGAAGTGGGTAAGATGCTACTTGCGGGTGTTCCCAGGGAAATGACAGTGTGTTCCTCCCACTGACTGCCTATTGCACAAGAGAGTGCTTCAGGACTGATTCACCACACATCAGTTCTTCATATAAAGTCTTCACAGACAGCTTACGCTTTCAGCTAATGATTCCTTCCCCCTCCTTCTGCCCCCATCCAACAGAGCAATGACGTTTTGTTTCCTGGGAACTCTCCTTAGGTGAATCTTATCTGCCAGGAGTTTGTATTTTGGACTTTGAATTCACTCAGTGCATATTAGGACTCTCTTGAGGATTTAATCTCTTAAATCTGTAGTATAGGTTCTATCTCCAGTTTGGGGGATATTCTATCCAGAGAACCGAAACCCAAGACAAACCTTTGTTGCTTTTTTTTAGTGCGTGTGTCGAAGCATATTTTACAGCAATAGGCTTGAAAAAAAAGATAGGTCAGACTAGTTCAGAAATGTGCAATACTTTGGATAGTGATGTAATCTGCCTGCCAGAAGACAGGGTAGATATTTTGGTACCTGTCTCTAGCTAGCCAATTGTGCAGATGTCTCACTCAGATGCATTACCATGGGTCTGAATTTGACATAAAGAGAGATTCAGAGAGACTTCTCAATGGCTCAGAGAGTCCTCAGTTGTATCTCTGAGTTCACAGATCTTGTGGCAGTAGTTCTGGTTTTGTTTGAGCATGCAGAGTCAGGCAAAACTTTTCATATGGAAAAACATCCAAGAAGTGAACAACTCACAAGATATATAATTAAAGAATAACAATAAAAAAGGCTCCCAAACCTGAAGTCTTCTTTACTTCATACTTAAGGCTTGTCTACACTTGAAATGCTACAGCAACACAACGGCACTGCTGCAGACGCACTGCTGTAGCACTTCAGCATAGACACTACGTATGCCAGTGGAAGGGGTTCTCCTGTCTGCAAAGGTAGGCCACCTCCCGGAGAGGCAGGAGCTAGGAGGAATTCTTCCAATCAACCTAGCACTGACTACTGGAGAATTTAGCTCAGCTCAGGGCTGTGGATTTTCACAACCTGAGCGACAGAGCTGGGTCAATTTAATTTTCTGGTGTACAACAGCCCTTACTTGGGCAAAATTGATGGACTTCAACTGGAGTTGTGCCTCAGGAAGAACTGAATGAAGAACTGAGGTTACACGTACAGATTTAAAAGAGTTAGTGTTATGGGAGCAGACTCTCAGCTGGTGTAAATTGGCTAGCTCTACTGAAGTCAATGCGAGTCACCAGACTTGTGCAGAGCACTGAAATCAATTGATCTGTGCTGATTTACACTAACTGAAGATCTCACCGATTGTGTTCTGAAAAGGTGGATAATTTTGGTCTAGGGAAAAGGTACAAACTCCAGCTCACAGATGCTGTTAGCTGGCTATCTGAAAGGTGATGCTTAGAGGTCAAGAGGGATAAATAGACTTGGGGGTGGAGAAACCCTCAACTCCATCTTTTTCTGGCTGTTACTTATCCTGTTATTACAACAAACAGCACAATATAGCAGGGACTGCAAAACACCTTCTTCATATTCTTCTCTGTGTACTGACTGGGAAGAGGTTTTTTGTTCATAGTGGAGTTACTGCAGCAACCGAAATGGCAGTGATACCCTGTCCTCCCACGACACAACAGCGTATGCAGAACACCCATTCACACCACCCAGGTGTGAGATTCAGATCCATTGTGTCTTACTTTCTCCCTGTGCAGTGCCACTGGCTGTCCAACCAAAAGGCAAGCGGAAGGGCAAGTGCTGCTGTTGCTCTGTAGAACACTGGCAACGTGAATTAACAAGAGTTTGTCCTGGCAGCAAGGGAAGGACTGGCTGATCACATTCTCCATTAATTGCACAGCCTTCAAATAAGAGGAAGGGTGGGGTGTTCTTCTCATTTGTTTACTTGCTGTTCAATTCAGCTTCCTTCAGATGCTATTTAAAAAAAAAAAGAGAGAGAGAGACAGAGAGAGAAATGAACTGATTTGTGAAGGTTACATAGCAAGTACCCAATTTCCCTGCCTGAGGTCCCATATGTTCATGTGCTTTATTTCACAGTTACAGCACAGATAAGTCAGCAAGGGGAGCTTAACTGTGTCATTCCTATTAGAGAACTGGATAACTTTGTTTTGCCATTTTAAAACTCTCTTTGAAGAAATACTTTGCGGGCAAATTAAGGGCACAATTCTGCAAGATGCTGATTGTCCCTGGGGAATGAAGCAGCTCAGCACCTCTTAAGACCAGGCCTTACATTTCCCCCTTCTCTAAGACACTGAATGACATAAAAATGTAATACAATGTAACGGACTTACACTTAGACATTTATATGTGTTGCAAGGCTGCCTGTAACTGCAGCCAGTTTAAATCTCTCAGTAAAATTATAAAATAAGGTTTGAACATTTCCTTTTTCAAATCAGGACATTTGCAAACAATTGATATTTTTACTGCATAAATCTAATTCAACAATCAGATGGCTTGCTTGGCTCTGCGCTGAGAACACATTGTACTATAGGTGAGCTAGGGAACTTTAGCTCACCTTGAATTATCTTCAACAACTGCCCAGCCTAACAGTTGTTCCTGTCTTGTATTCTTCACTTTTAATCAGTAACCTCCCAGTTGTGTTTTGTATGTTGCAGCTTTTTTCTCATACCCTGAGCACAGACAGAAAGGAGAATGATGCTATGAGAACACACGTCTGGCCTTGGTTTTGAAAGTGTCCTCAACCCTGCTTACACATTCAGACCCCCAATTTTGGGCGCTCATGTTTTCTGACATATCTAACCTCAGCGCTGTATGTGAAAATAGCACGTGTGTAGGCACGCTGATCTTGCTATTCTGAATATTTTGGCACCCAAAATGTTCATGTCCAATGTCATCAACATGAAAAATTATAAGTACAGATTTAAAGGCCTGTTCGATAATCTGCCTTGATAAAGTTCTGCTTTCTAAAGTCGCTTATTCTGTGCAAAGTTAATGACCAGCCAGACTGAATTCTTTGCTAATGCCTAAACCCAAACAGCAGGTGTGGATGGCCTCAAGGTTATATTTACCAACATTCAGACTGCAGGAAAAAGCTTTATTTGTGCAATAGGGAGGGAGGGAGTCTTAGGGCTTGTTTACACTACAGACACTACAGTTGTGTCTCTAAGTTAACCTAAATTTTAGATGCAGACCAGCCCTATCTCTAGCTTTTCATGAGGCTTCCCACCTTCCAGGCATATACAAGAACAAAAATCAGTGTTCCCTGACTGCTGAGAATTGTATAACTGGATCAGCCTAATGCTAATGAACATCATCGCAATTTCTTAAGCAAATGCCTTTCAACACCAGTTTCACTTACCCACACTATCCACTTGGGAACCAGGTGGGATGGTTTTTATCTACGGTATTTTTAAGGTGCTAATCACAGTAGGATCTAAGCACAGACATGTCAAAACCATGGTTGTCAAAGCAGTAGTGTACCCTATGAGTCAGAATCAAGTTCAAGGCCAGACACCAAGGCTATGTCTCCTTGAGCCTTTTTTCCCTTAAAAATTTCCACTGTTGCAGCAGGGCTAAATGACATAGTTGGTGGTGAAAACACCTGCTTCGGGTCTTTACGAGCGCTTCCATGGGTACAGGGCTGCTCACTGGTAATAAAGGGTAAAAAATTGCTAGTGTAGGTGACTCCCATCTCAACTGTCAGCCAGTACAGAGCTTCAACAGTAAGGTAAAATACTGAGGACAAAAATTGTCCCAGTGCAGCTCATGATTGGTCCTGAGGGTACAACTTAAATGGTCTTACTCAGATACTTCAATGAAGTCTTGTGCCTGCTTACAGGTTTTGATTCCACTCATAGGGACCTGGAGCTGTTTGTTGAGGTTTTGAGAGTATACAAGGCAGGTTGGGTTACCTCAAACTGCCTGTGGTGTTTCTGTGACACCTCAGTTTGCTTGCATACTCACAGAAAAGCATGTGAATAAGTTTATTTGTGAATAGCCTCATTGTCATATGCATACGTGTTAGCAGGATTGTGCCTCTAGGTAGGGATGGGTGTAAATACCATAAGCCTCCAGGATTCAGATAAGTTACATACCTTATCTAAGTTACATCCATACCTTTTGCATCTGCTGGAGTCATGTAAGAAAAGGCTTCCTCCTTCCCAGATGTCCAGTGGTTCCAGGCAGGATGCAAACACCATGAGAACAGTCTTTCTTGCAATAATGTGCTATTTCTGATTGAACCTAGATAGTCAGAGACATGTGAAAATGAAAAACAAAGGCTAAAACCAGTATTCTAGCCTCTTTAGACCTCAAAACAAAATTTGGGGGGCAGCCCATTTTAACTCTTTAAAAAAATCAAAAAGCCACTCAAGGGTTAAAAGAAAACACAACAAAGCCACAGTACATAGTGTGCAGGTGTTTGTTATGGTGACATTTCAACAAGGAAATCCTTTTCACTCTGTAGTGCAGGAAACAGGCCTCCTGCAGAATAAGCAAATGAAATGAATACAGACAGAATATTTCACAACAGGGATATGTTTTTCTTTCTCTTTAAGGGCTCATCAGCCTAGTGCAGTGGGAGATGCCCATGGCTGAAATGAGACACTTACCAGCATGATTTATTCTGTGTGGAGTAAAATTATAAAGAGTTGTGCCTTAATGCATTAGCTCTGTAATGAGTTTTACTGAAGCATTATTAACTTGCAGGATAATCACAATTCTGACCACATCATTGTCTACTTCACACGTTTTGGCCTGGAAGAAAAGCTCAGTCCCTCAAAGGTTCAGTTACAGATGTTGCCAATAACAATACGGATTGTTCTCTCTGGCATTCCCCCCCCCCCCCGATACTGTGTGATGTGTTTGCATAACTGAAGCTATGGCACCGGTCTTTGTTACTGAAATCATTAGCTATTTTCCTTAGAAATGAGTCCTCTATGAATCATGAGGTATGGCTAATAAGCTTGGCAGCAATAATGCTCTGCACAATTGCCTTTATCATTCTGCTATATGCAGTGTAAGTTGTAGCCATGACAGTCCCAGTATGTTAGAGAGACAATGTGGGTGAAGTAATATATTTTACTGGACCAGCTGCTGACTTTCCCATCTTCACCCTCACCTTGTGACATATATTTAATATTATGTTTCCCCGTGCTATAAAATGTTGCCCCAAACAGCTGATTCCAAAGGCATTTGTACTGAAAGGCCTTTTTTTCCAGGCAGTTTTTGCATTCACTTCATAAATACTGACATGAAGAAGCCAATGATTTACAAGAATTTAGGGGTTGACATATGGAACAGAAAACTGGTTCATCTAGGCCCAGATTTAGATCTCACTTACAGTGGTGTAAACTAGGCGCTATTCCACTGAAGCCAATGGACTTACATCAGTGTTGAACCAGTGTAAACAAGATTGGAATTTGGCCCCTTGTTTGATGTCCTGTCTTCAACAATGGCCCGTGCCAGATGTCTTAAAAGAAGGTGTAAGATCCTACACAACACCTAACAGGGCATTACTATGACATGGAAGAATTTTCTTCCTGATGACTCTGGGGAATCAGCATGTGCCCTGAACCAGGAGGGTTGGTAGCAATGATCATTATTATTTTAGCTAGTATAACTGCAGATGCCATTCTTTTCCTATAAATGTTTAATCCTTTCTTGTGAAGTACTAAGTCACGTGTAAGCCATTCAAACACAACCACAAACCTCCATTTGTATTGCTATAAGGCATAGTAACTAGTCTAAGGCATACTGACTAGTCTGTTAGTACGCCTTGGAGAGGACAGTTGAAGGAGCTAATATTAAATTCCCAGGAAATAATCATCTTCTCACACAGTTACTTTAGAAATTCTGCATTATGAATAGAGCTGATCAGACTCTACATTGCAAATAAACCACAATACAAATATATTCCTTTTTCTGTTTGTGAATCATTGCCAGATCAAGTCTGTAGTTACTATACATAAATATGAACCAAATAACGTGATGAACAATTTTCACACTATAGGTTGTTCATGAACTGTTCATTTACACTATTTGCTGTTCATTGTCAATGGTCTATGAGCAGTCACCTAAGTGCTGAGAATATGGCAATGTTTCTGGACTAGTGGATAAGACAATGGGAGTTAAGAGACTGAGTTCTATTCCTCACTCCTCCACTGATCTGCTTGGACAAACCACTTCACTTTTTGTGCCTCAGTTTCCCAATATTTACTATCTGTTGTAAAGCACTTTGAGATCTACAGGTGAAAAATGTTATATAAGAGCAAAGTATTCTTCTTTTCTGTGCTGTGTAAATGTAACGTTGAACCTCCAACTAACACATGACAAATAATGAATGGAGATGGCAGGAAAATGGAATTTTCATCCTGGGGAAAATTCCATCATTTTGACATTTGTTTTTCTCTCAGATCATGATGAAAAGAAGAAATACTGAAAAGTTCCCAAACGTTTCAATTAAGAAATGTCTAAACAAACAATTTTGACATTTTGAAACAGAATAAAATACAAAATGTTGATTTGGAACAAAATGTTTCATTTCAAAATGTTGCTTCTTGGAATATAAAAATTTAGTAAGCACTATATTTTCCAGTGAAAACACTTTACAATGGAAAATTTACAACAAGTTTTAATAATGAATAAAGGACAGCAAACAGACAATCTGGTTTATTCGTAAATATCCTATCTGCATATGAAGAAAGGCCATTTCTTATACATTTTTGTAAACAAAAACACATTCAGAAGAACAGGTTTGAGAGTAGCAGCCGTGTTAGTCTGTATCCGGAAAAAGAACAGGAGTACTTGTGGCACCTTAGAGACGAACACATTTATTTGAGCATAAGCTTTCGTGAGTGACAGCTCATTTCATCACTTCATTCAGAAAAAGTTAATTATGAAGACTTATGAAGGTTATCAAACCAAAACCTATTTGGAATTCAAATGGATGTTCACAAATACTGTTTGTTCCGTATCTGATCAGCTCTTATTGTGAACTTAAGCGGAAATGATCATGAACACCTGAAACTGGTGGTTCATAATAACCCCAGGATGCTAAACATTGATGCACTTGTTGACAAACGACTGCACTCCAGTTACCAGACTAGCAGACTTTCAAGTTCTCTGTCTCACCTTTCCAGAAAAAAGGAGGTGCTAAACGGTTTTAACGAGCTTCAGCTGTTAAAGACTCTTCTGTCTTGCAGCTCTTGCTGAGGGAAGGGGGAAAATAATGGAGTGGAGGGTGGGACTGAGAGAGATCTGAGTGTGCAATGTGTGTTGTGCAAAAGGTAGGAGGAGGAGAGGATTATATGTTCAAAATAAGAGACATATGCAGCAACAGGTCAAGATTAATGCACCTTCCCCTCGGTGATTAAGAAAGTCCCCAAAATGGAGGACCTCCTGAACCAAAACCCTTCAGTCAAACATCCCACATTTAGGATAGATCCCATAGGTAGTGGGTTTAGACCTCTGAGGTAGGTGCCTTTACATTTTGGAAACCTTTACTCAACTTCATGTGTTTTGCTTGTGAATGTATCTGGGCTCCAGCAGCTGCTACTTCACACTGGAAGCATGTGGTGCTGTTTGCCCAGCATGTTTAAAATATTTGGTGCTTTGTAAATAGTAAAAAGGTTTTAACAAAACGTTTAATGGGTGGGTTATAGGTAGGGTGTCTGCTTTTGGGTTTTAACTGATAAACAAACACCCCCAATTAATCAATAAATAAAAATGAAATTGGTGTTTATCCAATAAACACTGGAGAAAGAATGAGAATGGTTACTCAATTTGTGTTGACTTCACCCCTTTCCCAGGCCAGTTTGTTTATATGAGCAATGTCTCTGCTCCCGAACTTGAATCTAGGGGCTTGTTGACATGGAGCAATAATAAGTAGTACAGGGGTGTAATTTTTAAAGCACACTAACATATGGGCTGTCTCTTTAGCATGACCACAATCCATGGTACCTCGGGGTTACCCTTGAATGGACACTGAGCTATTGCCAACACCATGACAACACCAAAAAGAAGATAAAGACAAGGGTTATCACGCAGAAGATTGCTGACACATCCTGGGGACGTGATGCATGCATGCTTTGATCGTCTGTCCAAGCCCTGGCCTTGTCAACAGTGGAGCATTGCACACCAGTTTGGTGCAACAGCTCCCACACCAATCTCATTGACACTGGAATCAATGCTACTCTCTGGATTGTTAGTGGTTCTCTTGGGTCTATGCCAATACTGTAGATTTCAGTTTTGGTGGGCATCACACCAGCCAACATCATCAGGTGAGATACTGCTGTGGTCCAGGAGTACAACAAAATCCTGGCTGCCTGCAGATACACCAAGATCTCAACTCAGGGCCACCCTCCTGACTCAAATCCAGGAAGCCTTTCTGGATGCACCCGTCAATGCTACAGGCCAACAGAAAGGACACCAGCACTCACTGGCTTGAATTGCGGGCTGCTCATGACATCCCAAACAAAGACCTGATTAAAGAGCCAATGAAAGAATTCCTGGGATTCTGCCTTTCCCATAGGCAGTGGATTGTACTCAACCACGTTTGGACAATGCACAGAAGGCGTGGGAATCTCCTCCACAAATGGAAATTCAAAGACTCATCGAATTGTGACTGTGGTGAGGTACAAGCCATGCAACATAACATGGACAAGTGTCCTGTTCATGCTACAGTGGTGGCACAAGGGGGAATCCACCTAGCTACCCCAGAAGCATTAGAATAGCTTTTGACTCTCAAGATTCAATTATAATCCAGCCTATTGTTTTTAAAATGTCATACAAAAGACAATGACTAACACGTTGTACATTGGTTGGTTCGTGTAGACCCTGCTGGTGTGCACTAAAGGTTGCCTAGTGTACTATAACGTAGTGCAGTTTGAAACAGTATTGTGTGTACACACAAAGAGAAAGCCCTGAAACATGCTGGTGTTAACATAGAACTCAAAAATTGCTAAAAATACACACACCCCCAATGAAATTAATGTCCCCCCAAAACACAAGCCCCAGCTGTAGAGTTTTTATAGAAGTAATATAGAAGCATTGACTGCCAGATGCAAACATCCTCAACAGCTGGTGATAGAATGTTAGACAAGGAAGACTGAGTTACTACAGAGAATTCGTTCCCAAGTGTATGGCTGTTTGGTCTCGCCAACGTGTTCAGGGTCTAACTGACTGCCATATGTGGAGTGGAGAAGGAATTTTCCTCAGGTCAGATTGGCAGAGACCCTAGGGGG